GATACTGTACTGTATACTGTACCAAACATCGCGATGCATCGCCGAAATTTATGATTAATAGAGATGGGATATTTAGGTACTAAAAACTGAAAAATAGGTAACTAAAAAGGTACTAAAAAAAGCATTTTAGGTTAAAAAAATAGCATTTTAGGTTTAAAAAAAAAATATTAAAAGTTCAAGTTTCGTTTATAATTTTGTTTAGCCAGAACATACCCACAATAAACTATTTATATGCAATAAACTGTGTTTCACTGAGTGACACTCACTACACAGAAGTCAGAACATAAACTCACTACAAAGAAGGTAACTGTAAAGAAAGTTACTGTTACAGTCTGTGACCATAAGAAAAAATTCTATACCGTTGAGTTGCACGCCCTGAATAAAATATTGGCGCAAAATTTAAAAAGAGCACAAAAAAATAAAATAAGTAAAAATACGTAAAAATAGGTAAAAACTAGGTGAAAATAAACTGACAAATTGAAAAATATGTAACAAAAGTATAAAAAGGTACTTTAAAGCAAAAACCTCCAAAAAAGGTAAAAAAGGTGAAGTTAGTTAGGTTCATATAAAAGAAAATCTTTTAAAACACATTTTGGCATTATTGGTTTTCAAATAGTTACATCGGCTGAAAAAAGGTAAAATAACTAAAATCCCATCCCTAATGATTAATGCAAGAGAAAAAACCTCAAATATTAGCTAACAGCACCTCTCCGGCAAGCGTTCGTAAACATACGTTTTCAAGCAACAGGTATGTTCACCAAACAGCGAATTTTGGAAAACTAAAATAAATTCTTATTTTTTTTGGAGGGGGGTATATGTAACGTTACCAATAGTAACGCTACATGATTTATGTATTAGAAATAAGTTACGCACTGTATAAGTATAATTTAGTTTATTGAGTACACACCTGTTCACACTGTATATCGCATATCGGCTTAAGAGTATTGTATTTTTATGTTTTGGTTATTATTTTGGGGTCTTTAGGTCGCTGGCTTCATGGTGTTGATTTGCCATGCCTAAAAGAGTACGTTTAATTTAGTTTTATTGATAACCAGGAAGACCTTGGTACATATTTTAGGTTACGACTGAATTTACCTTTTAGTTATTGTTTCGATATGTATGAGGTGTGATAAATATGAATGTATGCGTTTTAAGTTTATCTGGGGCTCTGGTAATCCTACAACAGTAGTGTACTTTAGAATAGGATAAAAGGGGGTTAGAATAATGCTTCTATGGACGAAATAATTAAAAGGGAGGCACATACATGTATGTTACGAAACATATGTAGTTCATGAACATGTATGTTTAAATAAAGAGATTCTTCTAAAAAATGACTTAGTTAAGTTTTTATATTGAATTTAAATATGTTAATCTGTAAGTACTTAGAGCAATTACCTAAGTGGCTACAGAATTACAAACTTGACTTAATTCGTTTTTAATTGGTTTATAATGTAATTTCTTTAACAACTCTGGAAATTTAGCTTAAACCAAGTTAAATCTTGCCTTGGCAGTTTTAAAAGATTGGTTTTAAGTTCCATCAACTAACAAATTCCGGAAAATGCGGCCAGTGGCGTTCCAAGAAATTAGTTTAGGTAGTTTTCCAAGCATCTTAACATTTATAATCTGATATACGAGTATACCATATTTTATTAAAATACTTTAAACATAATAGTTACGTACCTAGTAAAAACTTTTGAAATTATTATTATACAGGGTGTTAAGTAATAAATGGTAAAAAATCAAGGGGGTGGCCATGCCCAGACAAGCATTTTTGGACTTGGGGACCTGTGTCCGTAAACGCGAGCTATACACTGTTCAAAATTTCATGACCATTTTAACACCAAATTAACACCATACATGGTCTATATCGATACAAACCAAAATGGTGTTAAATATGGTTCGTTGGTCCAGTGTAAATTCAAATACTAATATAGTGCATATTTAACTCTCACACAGTATTAAAATAAATGGTGTAAATTGAACTCCTCTTCAGTGTTAAATATTATGTGTTTTTGGTCAAATTAAATTATACTACACAGAAAAAAAGAAAAAAAAAAAAGGAAACAGGAAGTTCCTTGACGCATTACTAGTATATTACCAGTGGTATTATTCCAGAAATTTGAAACTTCAACTCGCTAGAGATAATGTTTTTAGTGCGTTCCACCAACTTAAAATACTTCAAGTATTGACAGCTGTTTCCACCTCCATCTCTTTAGTATCGAACAACTTGTACTGTCACACCAAAGCAAAGCACTATCTAAGCTTATATACTTTTCATGTAAGTCAACAAAGGCGAGATTTAAGAACATCACGTGATCCACGCCGCCTTTGCCGCGATCGGTACACACTATCCAACCAGGAATGCACGGCAAATTGTTTTAATCGTTTTAACAGAGTGCTTTAAGTTGTAGTAACTCTTATTTTACAAACAACATGTTTAGTAAACTGAACCATAGTTGGGTTGGTTTTACTAAAGTTTTCTGGGTTAATTTAACCAATTAAAAAAAAATAAAATAAGTATCTGGTTTAGTACCGTCAAACTAATCTTTGTTTATATTAACCTTTTCACAGTTGATTTAAGTATATTTATAAATACTTATGGGTAAACTAAATTAATATAGTTAAATGAACTATTCCTTTTTTCTGTGTAGGTGCACTTCTCAAATATTTTTAGATATTTTGGTGTTTGCTGTATATAACATTTTTAATAATAATTTATGGTGTTTATATTAACACCCCTTGGTGTTGGATTTTGACACCATTTTAAGATTACTCTTTACACAGATATTTTAAACAGTGTAGGTATGCGTCAAAAACTGCGGGCACCGTTTGAATTGCATGCGCAAACTGGTGAATTTTACCTTGATTCGTCACTTTAAATAGAATTAAGGTTAGGTATCTATCACTTTCAGTACACCTTACCATAGTTACACGTAGCAAATGTAATCCTCAATGAGGCCTTAAAGTACCTTAAAGTGATTCTTTTGTAAAAAATAAACCTAATTCTATCAGGGCTGCCATCAACTTTCAAGTATTAATTTTAAGGATAATTTACCATAACCCAAAAATTTTTTATACCCACAAATTAAACTTGTCATTGACATTTGAGTTTGATGACAGCCCTAATAGAATAAGGTTTTTTTTTTTAAAGAGGAGTAAAATGGTTGCCCTTAGCACTTTAAGGCGTCAACAACGTTTATAAATCTGTATAAAAAGCACAAACCCGAAGCACAAGAATTGTAAACAACATAAAGATGGTCGCAGTTAAAGTGTGCATTTGGTTGCCTAACTTCGTGATTTTTAGTAAGCGTGCAACGAGGTAGAACAGACCTTATGTGGATTGTGGTTTTTATTATAAATAAACAGTTTTGTGTCTGGCGCGCCACTGAATGCACCTTAACCAAACTTTCCGATCATTAATGGCGTTCCAAGTGACAAAAGTTTGTCTCATCAATCAGTCGACGCGTCTTCGACGTCTCGAAACAAGAGCAAAGTAAAAGAAAACAATGCATAAGAAAATCCAAACACACAAAACCACTTAGACTATTGTTTTAAGTTCATAATTCAAAGCCGAACTTCTTGCTGACCCACACTTAATCGAGTCCTAGCGCTGAAGGCTTAATTACTAAAAAGAGAAGGGGCGGGATATAAAATATAAATCTGGTCGCTTTCCAGTTTGGACATCGGAGTAGTAGATGTATATATGTCTTTGTTTGTAAATTATTCTCATGGTTTTTTGGTAACTATTTATGAGGCGGTTTTGTTCTTATGTCTTTTGAAAATTTGGCATTTAAGGCTTTTCAGGTTATGTATCTGTCAAAGTATAGTCAATGAAAGAAATAATATTTATAGTGTTACCGCTTATGTTTAAGCGTTATAAATTAATAATTCTTTATAGTATCACAATAACATAACAATAACAATGGTTGGTTTAAGAATTTAGAAATATAAATACTGCATTTAATGAAATTCCAAAGTGTATGGTGCAAATTTTTGTGCATTGGGTTTACATTTCTCCATAAAATAGTTTTAACTAAACAGCATTTATTAAGAAAAATCTAACTTCTCTATTATGAAATAAGAATATCTGTATCAAAGGTAGGTTAATGTATTAGAACAAAAATATCATCTAATTTTGTGTTTTAAGGTTAGAAAAATCTAATTTGACCAAAATAAATAAGTGGATTATATAGAAAAGTGGGTTGATATGGTCATAAATAAATATAGGTATACTAAATAATTGTTGAATATGGTTCAAATTGAAGCTTTTATACTTCTAATAACAAAACTTGTGCATACCTCTCGGCATACCTACTTTAAGTTAGATTATAAGAAAACAATTTTTTTTTAGAGAAACTTGCAATGTGAAAATATTTAATACTCCCATGACATGTGATTTATTAAAAAATTTTAAAGTTATAATGATTTTTCGATGTAGATCAAGTTCAGTCAAAGCTTTTTAACTAGTTGTATTGACAAAACTTTAGGTAGGTACACTTTAAGCTAGATAAGAAAAAATACCACATTTTTAAATACCATATTATACAGTCTTTTAAATAATCCAAAATACTTATTTATTTTGGTAAAAATAAATTTTTCTAACCTTAAAATTACAAAGTTAGATGATATTTTTGTTATAATATAATAAGACTTAAGACTTAAGTCTGGCAACAGCTAACGTAATACGTGTGCTTTATACTTTAATTTAGTTTTGGTGAATTTATAGTGATTTAATATAAACAAATAGTGTATGTTGATACAAAAGGACATAAGTAGTAAGTGTGAACATAAAAAACTATAATAAAAACTACAATCATATTTAAAAGTGTAAACAAAATCTTTTTTCCAATCGTAAAATATCCGTTAAAACCGCTGACGAATACTGCTGTGTTGCCGCGTCTAACGTGATTTCCCAATTAACAATGCCCAACTTAATTTGTGTATGTTGCTCAAAAAGCACCGAGGAACATCGTTCACTGGAATGTTGTATATGTAAAAAAATGTGGAATGGCACATGTATTAAATTAAGTAACTCAGAAATTAGATCTATTAAGTCAACTAAAGGACTTAACTGGTCATGTGCCTCTTGTGATGAATACTGTAAAGATCTAAACTCACTTAAGGCAACAATCATATCGCTTCAACAAGACGTAAAGGAGTTAAAGGGTTTAAATAAAAAATCTGATGCAGTTATCGATGAAGATTGTGTTGAAGATATTATTTCTGAAATAACCGCCAGAGAGAGAAAACGCTGTAATTTAATATTATTTAATATGTCAGAAGGTGATAATAATGAGGAACAACAGGTTCAGGATCGACAATTTCTTACCGAATTGTTAGGTTGTATTTCTCCAGAAACAAAATTTGAAAGTCAACCAATACGTTTGGGAAAATATAGCCAAAACAAAAAACGTCCACTAAAAGTTACCTTGCCATCTGAATCTGCTGTAATTAATGTATTGAAAAACTCCCATAAAATTAAAGATAATCAAAGTTTTAAGCATGTGTCTATAAGTAAAGACAAGACCAAAAGACAAAACGACTATTATAAATTGATAAAAGTCAAGCTGGATGAAGAATTAAAGAATGGAAAAAATGTCAAAATAAAATATATTAATGACGTACCAAAAATTGTCCAATCTGAAAATCATTTAAACAACTAAAGCCCAACAATACCCATAAAGAATTAAGTGTTTACTATCAAAATACACGAGGTTTGAACACTAAAATACGTGACTTCTCATGTGCAGCAAGTGATAATGAATTTGATATTATATGTCTCACTGAAACATGGTTAGTCTCTGCTGTTGAAAGTGCTGAATTATTTTCTAGTACCTATAATGTTTTGAGATGTGATCGAAAATATGACCTACTTGACTGTGCCAGAGGAGGTGGTGTCTTAATTGCAGTAAAGGATAGTTTTAATATAAATAAAATTAACTTTGAAATTTTTGAGAGTGTTAATGGCTTAGTGGATATCGTAGGTTGTAAAGTTGATGTTTCTTCAAATGTATCCGTAACTTTTGTTGTTATTTATATTCCGCCAAGAATGAATGTGGGCGATTTTCAAAACTTTTTTGATGAATTAGCGTATCTATTAGCAAGTTATAGTGAACACATAGTCATTCTTGGCGACTTTAATGTCCCTGAGTATGTAAACTTAAATGAAGAAAGTAGTAAGTCCCTGCATTTGAATAATTTTTCGGCTTTTCTTAATTTAGAACAATGTAATAATATCCCCAATCTATTTGGTAAATGCTTGGATCTTGTATTTACTAATTGTAATTGTGAGGTTGAATTGGAGCAGTACCCTTTTGTTAAAGTTGATGATTATCATCCTACATTGGCAATAAACCTAAAAACAAAATTATTTAATACAAACTTTTGTAATAATACTGAGAGTAAAATCTACAATTTTAGAAAGGCGAATTTTCCACTTTTGTATAATGATCTTTTACAGATAGATTGGTCATATTTAAACTCATTTGATGACATAAACAGTTCGTGTGAGTCTTTGTATACTAAACTTTACAGTCTCTTCGATAATTATGTACCTAATAAAACCTATATTCATAATAAACAAACATATCCACCGTGGTTTAATAAATCAATAATTCAAAACATAAACAAGAAACTGCATTATCACAAAAAATACAAAAAAAACAAGTAAACAAATATATTTAACCTTGTTTAAGGAAACTCGCCAAATAATTAAAAATGAAATATCTATATCTTATAAACATTATTTAAATAATATTCAGCTTAATTTACAAAATGATCCTGCATCGTTCTGGTCATTTGTCAATTCAAAAAAAGGACAATCCCGAATTCCGAGTAAAGTTAATCTTAATAATATTGAATACGATAAACCTAAAGAAATAGTTGATAGTTTCGCGCAGTTTTTTAATAGCGTTTATATAGATTCGGTTCCATTTAATGATAACAACTTTGTATTTACTAATAATCACGTCTCTTTATTCGCAATTGATGTTGAAGACATATACAGGGCAATAAAAAAGTTGAAAAATAAAATGACATCTGGGTTTGATAATATACCAAGTTTTTTTGTTAGAGATTGCTCTGGAGCCCTGGCTAATCCCCTCTTGATTATTTTTAATAAAATTTTAAAATCTGGGTTGTTTCCAGACATGTGGAAGATTTCTAAAATCATACCAGTATTAAAACGAGGTGATAATTCGCTTATTGTCAACTACCGACCAATATCAATTTTATGTAATTTTGCTAAAATATTCGAAACAATAATAAATACAAAAATTTTTGATCAAATAAAAAATATGTTGTCCCCTTTTCAACATGGTTTTATTACAAAACGATCTACCACAAGTAACTTGGTTTCATTTACACAACATGCTAGTCAAACGATTGATAGCAATGGCCAATTGGATGTTATCTATACCGATTTTCAAAAGGCTTTTGATCAAATAGACCATTTTATTTTATTAAATAAATTAAGGCGGATGGGTTTTGATGATATGCTTATTAAACTTTTTGAATCATACCTTACTAATAGGCAACAATATGTCATTGTTAATGGTTACTGTTCCGAGTGGTTTGCCTCTTGTTCAGGGGTGCCGCAAGGATCTAATTTAGGACCCATTCTTTTTGTTATTTTTATTAATGACTTGCCATTAAATTTAAGTTGCTCCAAGCTTTTATATGCGGATGATTTAAAAAATTTTAAAGGTATACAAAACTTAAATGACTGCTTTGAACTTTAAAATGATTTAAATACTTTAAACCAGTGGTGTCTTAGTAATCGTTTAAAGTTGAATATATCTAAATGTAAGATTATCCGCTATACTAGAAAACTAAATCCAATTATTTTTGAATATAGCATTAATGATATTCCCTTGGATACAGTTTCTGCAATGGAAGACTTGGGTGTTATTTTTGATCAACAGTTAAGCTTTGTAAGTCACATTAAAACAAATATAAAATCTGCAACAATGACCCTTGGATTTATTTTTAGAAATACCAAAGGTTTTTCTTCTCAGTCCGTTAAATTACTATATTATTTGTTAGTGCGCAGCAAACTTGAGTATGCCAGCGTGGTTTGGCCTCCAATATATGCCATATCACATAACAAACCTTGAAAATGTACAGCGTAAATTCCTAAAAATTCTTAACTTTAGAATATTCAATTTTTATCCACCACAGGGTTATGATCATTTAGTTCTGTTAGAGACTTTTAATGTATTGTCTTTGGAATTGAGAAGAAAAATTATTTCAATAACTTTTTTGTATAAACTTCTTCATGATCAGATCGATTGCATGGATTTGTTGGGTCAATTGTGCTTTAATATTCCTCGTTGTAATAGCCGACAATGTATAACGTTTAGATGTCCCTTTGCTCGTACAAACACACTTAAAAAATCTCCTTTATATGTTATGTGCAATATATTCAATTTTATTTCTACTTCCTGTGATATAAATTTTTCTTCCTTAAGCTCTATAAAAAATTGTTTATCCTAGTGTTTTATATTGTTAATTGTAAAAATTGTTAACTATTTATATTTTTAGTTATTTATATATTGTTTTTAACTTATTTGTATTATTTATTTATAAGCTAGTATTTGTAAGTAAACACTATTATATGAATGTCCATTTATGGTATGTACTGTTGGGCAATAAATACCTATTATTATTATTATTATTATTATTATTATTAATAACCTACTTTTAAAACAGATATTCTTATTCCATAATAGAGAAGCTAGATTTTTTTTAATAAATGCTTGGTTAAAATTATTTTATGGAGAAAACCAGATATTTTTACCAAATTCACAAAAATATTACTTATTTGGCACCATAAACTTAAGAATTTCATTAAATGCAGTATTTATATTCTTAAATTCTTAAACCATCCATTGTTATTGTAATGTTATAAAGTTTTATCCATTTTTAACGCCTAAACATAATATTATTTCTTTCGTTGACTATACTTTGACAGATACATAACCTGAAAAGCCTTAAATGACAAATTTTCAAAAGACTGCGTTCCGTACGTGGTGGGACTTTGAGGTGTGGAGCATAGTATATTGTATATTACAGCGAACATGTATTTGTTCACAATACCTTCGATCGATTTTCAGTATCTGTAGAGCGAGGCGAAAGTGGCGGATTTCAGACAAATTATTTTTTCTTACTACCTCGACTCAAAATACGTTGTTTCGTCCCCGATTTCACGGCAGAAAGTTTACGTTTCTTGCATTGGTCAAGCTATACACGCACACTCTAATAGCGGGAGTAAAAATTTTTTAGTCGTTAAGCACAATTCAAATTTCGTACTGCCAACATGAGAAACACAAAAATATGACAGTTTTAAACCATAATTTTGCAATTATAACAACAAATAAACAATTTATGTTTTTACTTTTTTACTTTTTATGTGGTTTTAAGTGTTTAATGGTACTTTTATTTGTTATAAAGTAGTAATTTGTTAATTAAAATACAACCTTTTATTTTTACTGTATTGGCACCGCTGAATTACCATGACAACGCTACAGTTTGATTGATTTTGAATGTAAACGTCAGAATTAAATTAAACGTCAGATTTTAATTTTGACAAAAGTTTTTTTATATACATTTAATTTTTTCCCGTATTTTCTGCGGGGGTAGCAAGAAAAATAGTATACACTACACGGGCAGAAAGTGTGAGAGTCCTGAACTGCGCGCCATGATGCCCTCGGCTTCGCCTCGGGCATCATGGCGCGCAGTGCAGGAATCTCACACTTTCTGCCCTTGTAGTGTAATATACTATTGCATTCCTAAGAAGGAAAATTAATGACGTAGCGATATGAGTAATAAGTTAACGACGCAGAAATGTGACTTACCCAATTTTGAATCAACATTATTCATATAAAAGCAATTTTCTAAAATAAAAAGTCAAAATTAATTTATAAAATATATGGAAATTTAAGGTTTTAATTTTTTAAAGGTCAACTGTCAACCATGTTTTATTTAATGGTTTACATTATTTATATAAACTCAAGAAAATTAATAATATAAATTTAAAATACAAAACAATATTGTAGCTGTGTTTGCCCTAGGGCAGTACTGTCCAATTCAGCTGCCCGCAAGCGAGTCTCCGGGCCATCGTGGGTTCGGCGCGGGCGGTTGTAGACTAGTGGGGAAAGTACGCATCGATTTAGTCGTGGGCGTTTGGTTCGTGTCGATTTAGTCGTAGTTTGTTGTAGGGCGTTTATATCATATATCTATATATCTATATACCTACCTATATAGATATATGGTTTATATGAAAATTTAGGTTTCTTTATTCTTTTTGTATTTTTATAAGTTTTGCAAATGACATGTTTTTTGCAAATAAGGCATTGGGATTCTCCGCCATGCAATTTACACAAATAAAGATATTCCCAGTTTTTATTGAACAATAAACTCCTACGTTTTCAAATTTCGGTATCGTCGATAATAATTATTTCAGAATTCATAATAATAATTATTTAAATCAACAAATCGTCAGAGATAGTTACGCTCGGTACTGTCACTTTGACGCTTCTCCTAGCTGTCATAGCACACCATGCATGGCCCGCGCGGGCCCGCGACGTGCCCGGCCGGGCAAAATGCCCGTATGGGCCGAATTGGACATGCCTGCCCTAGGGGTTTCTCAGGTAATTTGTTAAAAAATGTTAAAGAATTCATATGGAATCTTGGATAAAAATGTTTTGGGATTACAAAAATTCTACCCCCATATCCGCACACCTAATAACAAAAAAGTTATAGACTATTTATGATTGACGCGCATTTGTCAAATTTTCACAAAAAAAAATTAATAACTTGAAAACTATTCACTTTAGGTATGGGACATGGTATAGTAATTTGAATCAGAATTTTATGTGCAATTTAAAAATTTAAAAATATATGTTATGTCCTAATTGAAATAACGAAGTTGATGTCACAAGTTGCATGTGTTAGGTGTACTGTTTCCTCGGATTCAGTGCATATGGTACCAGAAGATAAGTATCACCCGTCGCTTTGCATCGAAATTAATATTATAAATGATTCTTATTCCAACTTCTCTTCTTGTACTAATAATAGATTCTACAATTTCAAAAAGGCCAATTTACCAGGGCTTTATGTAGCTCTGTTAAATCAAAACTGGAATTTTCTTAATGTCTTTAAAGACGCAAACTTTGCTTGTGAAGCTTTCTATTCAAAAATATATTCTTTATTTGATAATTATATTTCACAACGAAAATTCACAAAATTAAAATATCCACCTTGGTTTAAATCTGAAATAGTTAACAATATAAAATTAAAAAATATCTATCACAAAATTTTAAAAAACATCAAAGTGAGCATTTTTTAAACCAATTTCAAAATATATGTAAAATCCTAAAATCACAGATTTCTGTTTCTTTAAAAAATTATATCCACAATATGGAAAATAAAATAAAAGATGATCCTAAAAAATTCTGGAGCTTCGTTAAAAAAAAGCGAGGACAGACGCGCATTCCAGATAATGTCTACTGTGGTGATGTCAAATATGAAACTATTGACGGTTTTGCAGAATACTTTAAAAGTGTTTTCTTACTACCTCGACTCAAAATACGTTGTTTCGTCCCCGATTCCAAGGCAGAAAGTTTACGTTTTATGCATTGGTCAAGCTATAGGCGCACACTCTAATAGCGGGAGTAAAAATTTTTTAACATTCAAATTTCGTACTGCCAACATGAGAAACACAAAAATATGACAGTTTTAAACCATAATTTTGCAATTATAACAACAAATAAACAATTTATGTCAATTATGTTTTTACTTTTTATGTTTTTTAAGTGTTTAATGGTACTTTTATTTGTTATAAAGTAGTAATTTGTTAATTAAAATACAACCTTTTATTTTTACTGTATTGGCACCGCTGAATTCACGGCCTACTGTTATTTATTTATCAAGCTCTTCAAATGGAGATAGGTACATAAATACACATTTAATTTTTTCCCGTATTTTCGGCCGGGTTGTATTTTTGGCCGAGGTAGTAAGAAAAATAGTATACACTACACGGGCAGAAAGTGTGAGAGCCCTGAACTGCGCGCCATGATGCAGGAATCTCACACTTTCTGCCCTTGTAGTGTAATATACTATTATACTGACCCCACTAATTCAGTTTTAACCGATTTGCCTTCTAACGATATATCTAATTCCCTGCATATAAGGCACTTTGCTGTAGCTGATCTATTAAAATCTATTTCTAACCTAAAAAATAGTTACTCCTGTGGTGATGATCAAGTTCCTAACTTCATTATAAAGGACTGTGCTGACGTACTGGCTTATCCCCTTTTGATTATTTTTAATCTTATATTGTCCACGTCCACATTTCCTGATTTTTGCGTTATATTATCAATTGATAAGGTCTAGGCTTGAATACTGCTCGATTATTTGGTTCCCTTACTATCAGATTCAAATCAAAACCCTTGAAGACATTCAGAGGCGTTATTTAAAGCTTCTTGCATATCGTACTGATAGAGTCTACCCGCCTCGTGGTATTGATCTAAAAGTATTACTGACACGGTTCCACTTTAATTCGCTACACGTTAGACGTATCATTTTTAGCTTTTGTACAAGTTGTTATATGACAAAATTCACTCTCCCAATATCCTGGCTCTATTAAACTTTTTAGTACCCAGACTAGAATCTCGATCTAACAACGTGTTTTATTGTCATAATGCTAGAACCAACGTACTAATTAAGTCTTCCATTTATATAATATGTAACAACTTTAATTTAATTTGCAATAATTGTGATTTATTTTGTGATAGCATTAGCAAGATTATCGCCATAGCTTCTTTATTTTTTTGTTAGTAGTTATTAAGTAGTTTTTTATTTTTTTTTGTTGTTCTCTCATATTTTATTATATTTTTTTTATTAGGTATTTTTATTAAGTGTTACTCATTTAATTTGTCCTGTAATTGGAATTTTCTGTATTCTGTTGAGCAATAAATTATTATTATTATTATTATTATTATTATTAAAATAAATTGCCTTTCTTGTAAAATAATACTAAATGTGAAAATTATTTTATTATCTCAATACAAAAATACAAAAGTATTAAATAGTTTCTCAACGCCAATATTTGAAAAGTTTATATGAACATTGTACTGACCTTTTAATTTCGCCGGCAGTAAACTATAACTTAAATTCGGACACGGACTACACTGTAAAGTGCTCATAAAACATTTTCTTTACTTTCACTGTGAAAAACTGTAAATTTTCAAGAAATACATTTCGATTTATAACCTTTAAAATTTAACATTTGACGGTGACACACAGATTCCCCTATTGTTTCATAGATGGCGCTCTACACAAATTTTTGATTTAAATCATTTTAAGATAATAATAAGTATTTGTCTTAGAAAAAGTATAGTATGCATCTCGTTTATAAACTTTTCTATACACATACAATGGCATTTATCAAACTTGATACATAATATACTATTAGATAAATAGACTTAAATGGATTATAAACGTTTTTAAAATTTCAAATCTGTATCTTTTTCTGTTCCCCAGAAACTTCTAATTCAAAAGTTTCGGGATTTTACTCATACAATCCCGGATTTTCGGGATAAAATATTGCCAAGATCCAAATTCTAGATTTCAGGATTGTATGCCCTATTATAGAGCTTTATTTTAATTAAAAATAATAAATAAAATAGAATTCCAGAGCTTTAACTTACTAAAAAATAATGTATCGTATTAAAAAAATTAAACAATTTTTATATCTCACAGTGTACATTTGATTAGGTTGATTTAAAAAAAAAAAACTGAGTCTTGTAAAAAGTTTTTTGATGTATAAAATAAAATCAGCATCATTTTTAAGATTATACAGCTTCTATTTATCAAGTAGTTTAGTATGGGCAGTAAAACCCCCGATCTGAGGACTCGGTTGGTGTAAATTAAACAAGAGGAAACACCTACTTTAAACAGATGGCGGGTTATTTCTTAAAAAGTTTTCTTATTTCCCTGCAATCTTAGCAGCCGTGTAAACTCGTAAACGTTTTTTATTGGACCGTATTCCGACGTAAAATTCCGAAAATCCCATTATTTTTATTGTGCGTTCGTTGTCAACGCTGAATACGCGCGAACTGAAAATGAATGCAATTTAAAAATCGGATTTTTATTGCACAGCCGTTACATTTTATTGCATTTTTGAGATAGACATACACTTAACCATTGTGTATTTGTTATTTGAATTAAAACCATTGTCTGTGCAGAGAGCGCTTGGCAATGCGAAATCCGTTTAAAACGGTTCATGTAAAGTCGACGCAAAGCAGAAGTTAAACGTATATTGTAGTAAGCATATCCGATGCGATGACCTGGCTGAAAGTGAGCCATGACAAAGCTTAAAAGCATAGTTGACAACATTTTATTCACATGGCTTCCTAAGCTTTCAGATATTCCTTTCGGGAAGAGAGGCTAATGTAATACAATTATTTGCTAGATTGGAATTTTAATTAAATTTAATACCATATATGTATTTTACAAACTCGTACAAAAATTGATATAAAAAGTGGTCAATTTTGTAAAATTATTTTCAACAGATTTTATGCAAAATTAACGCCATTTTTAACATCTTTTGTTATATTATATACTCATTTTAAAAAACATAAATTATTTAATTCAATGGGATTCAAAAAAAATATGTTTAATATAATATTACAGTACCTATGTGAAAAAGTAATTATAAAGAATTCCTTATTTAAAAAAGTGTTTTTCATGAAAAATAAGTTCGTGACAATATTGGAATCAGATGTTTAGGCAAAAGTTTTAATGGAACTAGACCTCAAAACTTTAAATAAAGCTGCTTAAATTTACGAAACTCGTTGAATTTATCTAATTTTAAAGCAATTTATGCCCAGAAGTTTAAATAGTTTTATAAATACTCATGGAATTTTTAAACTGCAAGTTATGTTTTGTCAACTTGTTCGGGAATTTCTTGCAATCTTATTAGATTGTACATGTAATTAGGGTTGGAACAGTTGAAATTTTCAAATGAAAATTTCAACTTTGAAAGTTTCAAACTTGAAATATTTCATTTAGTTGGAAAATTGAAATTTTTAAAAATTTCAAATGAAATTTTCAATCCGAAAATTTCAACATTGCCTGTGAAACATTCAGAAATTTCATTGAAAGTTTCGCAATTTACTGAAAATTTCGCATAAATTTCAC